GCTACAGGAGTATGAAGTGAAGACTCAGAAAGCAGAGAAAGGTAAAGTACTTGTCATGGCTGACCAGACTGTGTGTATTGTGCTCCACAGAGGGGTTACATGGATCGCTGCCTATGCCTTGACTAAATCTAGTGACACTGAGATCTCTTAGCAAGGCTTACTAATATCTTCCTGTATGGGTAAATACACACATGTGCACACAGTACTCATAATAATCCAAAGTATTAAAGTAGCATAAAATCTGCAGACGGTATTTGGGAACCAAAGGGCAAGAACTCTGTTTTCCCCAGTTGCCAAGAGGGTTTAAGTAGCAGAGCCTCTTTCAGCAGTGAGCAAGAGTTCAGCCCTCAAGTACTTTTTACTTAATGCCCAGCAGAAAAAAGTGTTTTGGGAACAAGTCTTTCCAATGAAATGGAAGCATTCTGTTTCAATGCATAGATGATTAGATTGGAGACAGCAACATCTGGTCTATTAAGGCCAGCAGAATTTTGTCAGTGTTACAGACTTTTTAGTGCAAACATCTTGCAGAAAATCTAATTATAATGTGCATCTGACTCATCTGAATCCAGTTACTTGGTGTACTATGCAAATAATTACTTTGAGGAGCATGGTGAAGGGAGTATTGCATGCTGAAGTAAAGTGCTATTGTGACTTACTGCAGTTACCTGAGAGACTGTTTGTAGTTCCTTAGCTTTGGCCAGGCTTGTGGACTAACCGTGCTGATCTTTTTCCAGAGCTCTCAGATCAGATCCAAAGAGCCATTCAACTGGAGGAGGAAAGGAGACGAGCCCAGGAGGAAGCAGAACGTTTGGAAGCTGACCGTTTAGCTGCTCTGCAGGCCAAGGAAGAGCTGGAAAGACAAACTATGGACCAGATAAAGAGCCAGGAACAACTGGTAAGACCTAGTCATTTTGAGGATCAGATATGCTACTGTGTCCTTGAGTAAGGTAAAGCCGTCTTGTTCAGGGAAAAACCTAGTGCAGTAAAGTACTAGACCACGTCATAGGATCATTATGGCACTGGTTTCTATCATAAGGAATCGACTTATTTGTTCCTTATTTCTTTATTACAGTTAACAGTGTTTCTTTGTTGTGCTTGGTGGTTGGGTTGGGTTTTTTTTAAGAGTCCTTATCATTCCAGTTTTATTATTAAACAGGCTACAGAGCTTGCAGAGTATACAGCCAAGATTGCACTTCTTGAAGAGGCAAGGAGGCGTAAAGAGAGCGAGGTTGAAGAGTGGCAAATCAGAGTGAGTATCTGCCTTACAAAGTTGCTCTAAAGTTCTACGCTTGAGCAGAGCACACTGTGGTGCTTAGCTTGGTGTGACTTCTCTACGCATATGGAGACAAACATCTGTACAGCAGTGAAGAAGGGCAAACTTGTGGTGAATGTGCAATATGCCTGCAAAACACCTTTCTTCCAACAAACTGTCAAAATTCAAAATGGAAGCCTGTATAAAACCTAAAAATATGATCATCATCTTGGAGCCATGGAGGGGGAGGGGCACATGGATAAATGATGCCTGATGCATGATAAAATGTCTGAAAACATCAGTCAAGAGAAGATTCTGCAAATGCAGCCACACTGCAGGTATCCATTTTGAGGAGTGTGTGCTGTTGTTGGTGGCTTCCTAGTCGGCATAGTTTAGCAACATATGATGTGCTAAAACCAAAGACAAACCACACAAGGTTCAGAGTGCCTGATGCTCCCAGTGCCCTGTAACTAGGGCTATGGGCTGCATGGGAGGGCAAAACCACTGGAGCACTAAGGAAGGTACCTGCCTAGTGCATAACTACATTCAAAATTCCAACTTGGGAATCTGAGTTCTTGCTCTGTAGAACTCTTGTCTCTTCAGCCTACAGCTCTTCAAATGGAGAACAGGATGAAGATAACTAGCTTCCCACAGAACAGTTTTTCCTAGGCTGTTTTAGTGGAAGAAGATTCTTTGCTTAGATCTCCTGCACATTACACAGTGAACGATAACATATCTAGCAAAAAAAATAAAAAAAGTTCTGTATATGACTAATAGAGTACTGTCAGCTGCAGAGATTTAATTCTCTCTTCCTTGCTTTTCATAGTGGATTGAAAAAACTGGGAAGATAAGCATTTGAGTGTTCATTAAACTGGTTTAAAGCAAGAAATGCATTTAAAATACTTTTTATTCTTTTCCCGAAGGCCAGGGAAGCCCAGGAGGATCTGGTAAAGACAAAGGAGGAGTTACACCTGGTAATGACTACTCCACCTCCACCTCCACCACCTGTCTATGAGCCAGTGAACTACCATGTCCACGATAACTTGCAAGACGAAGGCTCTGAGTACTCTGCCTACAGTGCAGAGTTCTCCAGTGAGGGGATCAGGAATGACCGCAATGAGGAGAAGCGCATTACTGAAGCAGAGAAGAATGCACGTGTACAGAGTCAACTGAGGGTAAGATGATGTCTGGGGGAGGCAGAGTAATTGAAACAATCTTTCCTGGAAAACATCATTTAACCACTTGGTTATACACACGGAGTATGATAGTTTCTCTTTGTTTACAGTTCCTGTAGGCAGTTTGAAATAAAGACAAGGTATATAAAGATTACTCTCATTGCTGAAGCTTTGAGGTTGCTTAAATCATCCATAGTGTTTATGGAAAGCCTATGTTGTATCCATGTCACTGATCTGTCCAGTCATCTGTCAACTGTCAGCTCTCACCAAAGAACTGTCATGAGCTGGAAGCTTCTTACAAATAACCTGTATTCAATGTTCTTCATATTGCAGGCACTGACAGATGAGCTGGCCCAGGCTAGAGATGAAAATAAGAGGACCCAAAACGACATTATCCACTCAGAGAACATGCGACAGGGACGTGACAAGTACAAGACGCTGCGGCAGATCCGGCAAGGCAACACCAAGCAGAGAATCGATGAGTTTGAGGCGATGTAACAATGCTTGTAAGAAGACAGGACTGTGGGAAAGGCAGATCTTAATGCTGTGTTCTTATTTTGGGGTTTTTTTGTTGTGTTGGTTTTTTGGTTTGTTTTTTTTTTTTCCTGAGGAGGCATCACTGTATGACACTTAACAAATGTTCTCTAAACCCAGAGGTGTTTAAATCTCCCATTTATCCTGTACCTTCTCTGAAATTTGATATAGTTAAAAACCTATTGTACCACTGATCCTGGGAACTTGCTCATGCCTTTGCTTAGTGCCAAAAGGCCTTATGTCACATCTCTCGTTAAGCAAGACAAATTTTAACAGGCTGTGCTTCTAGTTGAAGATACATGTCCTGTGCAGGTGCTGGATTCATCCTGGTCTAAAAAGTAAGCATCTGTGGGTGAATTTTGTGCCATACGTCTTTGTATTATTAGTTACAGTGTGAAGTCCAGCAGTTGAGAAGACAGGTTCTGGAACTCAGGATTTGCAAGCACCTGAGTGTGTACAACCTTGCACATGTGCTTGTACGCCCTGTTTTTCCCTTGGTCTTGATGCCCATGTTCCCCCTCCCCAGCCCACCCCCCCCACACAAAAGAACTGACAACACCTCAGAACTACTTTGTGTAGAAATTAGGCGTTTTCTGGTTACTGTTCTCAACTGGAGAATTTCTGCAGTGATGGCTCAGAAGTGTGGCATAGGGACACTCATATCCTCTTCATGTAACAAGTAGCAAATACTCTGTTGGAATCCAAATACACTACTGTGTTTGCATTCCAACTTCATTACTGATCAGTTATAGTGTAGTATTTATATATATATATATAAAAAATGCAACATGTGGATTGCAGTACTAGTTTAAAGGGAAATAGTTTTGCTCTGTATATTTTGTTACTTTTCAGATTTAATAAGACTTGTGTCTGTAAAAATGCCTAAACAGCACTGTAGTCTGATACAGTGCAGCTGATTATTTACTATAAAGCATTATTTGTAAAGATCATTTTTTTACTTAATGAAAACTGTTATATGTACACATGATCCAGTATATACAATTTTACTGCACCTATTTTTCTAACAAATTTTCTAATTTTTTTAAATGTTTGATTTAAAGTTTCAGACTCCAAAGATGAAGGGACTGCTTGTTTATATCACAGTTGAATTCTCTCTAGTAGAGAGCATTTCTGTGACCATTCTTCCCCCACTCTCCCCCTTTCCTTGAAAATCTGTTAGAAAGTGAGATACAGTATGTTGTCACCTCTTCTCTTCCATTTACAATATCTATGCTGCATTATACGTGAGTAGAATCTTGTGTGGGTTTTTTTTTATTTGCAGCAGCAAACATCTAAATAAAAGATCTGCAAAGTAACAAAGGATGTGGAGTCAAGTGTTTCTTGTGTGGGGTGTATTCTGTATAAGGTGTACTACTGCTCTTTTAGTTCCTCAGCTTAGCCTGTTAGTCCTTGTGTCTTTAAATCTTAAATCCTTAAAAGCCACACTGACCTATAAAGGAAGAAAGGGCAATACTTGCAGTAACAAAAGTATAACACAGCAGCACTAGTTACAGTTGTATATATGAAGTTTCTGCTGACTGTAGCACTACATCCGAGGCAAGGCAAATTGCTGCAGTAGTTTGGCCTAAGCTTGCATTTCCACCAGTACACATGAATAAATGATAAAGTCATTTAGTCAGGAGCTAAATTCTTGTCACATGCTGTACACCCTATGGATCAGACTTGTTAAAGCTGTCTTAGAGCGGCAGATAAGAAAGAACTTATTACACCCACACTTAGTCTATCAGCTGTTGTCCCATTCTCCTACTGAGGGAGAATTTGTACCTTAACTTTCTAAGCCCTAAGATGCAGCACACATTTGAGAGATGTGGCTACAGGCCAATGCTTTTTAGTGGCATGTGAAATAATAGTGGCAGTGTAGATAATTCTGAAGCAGAGTTATTAGCATCTCCCCTTTGCAGTAAGCAGACAAAGATAAGCTAGTTTTCAGTTCTGTGTATAAAACATTAACCTGAGAGTGAAAGCACATAACTTTCCTCCTGTAACAGTTATTTTCTCTGAGTATTCCTAGCTGTGACTAAACAATGAGAGTTTGGCTATGCCCAGAAATGGAAAACTGCATATTTTCTGGCTACTGTTGCTTTGTCAACATAATGCATCTCAAACTGAGACTGTAACTCCTCAAGAAACAATATTAACCTTATACTCCAGCTAGAAACACAAGTTAAAGCCTTTACTTTTTAAGAAATAAAACATTCAGAATGTCACACACTTTCAAATACATAAGTCTATTCCCCAAAAGCCAGAGTGGATTCATTTGCATCATACTTTCCCCAGACCTGAAGTCTGGGGAAGTCTAAAATATCACAAATGGGGAAGGAAAAGTTGTGTGATAATTTCTCATGATTTAAAGTTTTCCTTATTTGAATGCAGTACAAGTGTAAAGTCCATCCACATGTTTGGGTTGCAGAGCACTTCTCGCCATTGGGGCACTGACTGAGAAACAAGGTCTGTAGAGCCAAGCAGTTCCTCTGCAAGAAAGCAAAAGGAAAGGTCAGTTAGTTTTCACTAAGCCTTACCCAGCTTCAGGCCCACTTGGACTGGTTAACAAAATAACCTGTTCACCCACTTCTACAGTAATTTCAGCTCCTAAGGCACTAATTGCAATAAATTGTATTTATACTTTTGAAGTATTACTTACATCCTGTAAACTAGGATTTCTCTCTGAAGATCTCCGCTTGCAGCAAATAAAAAGTTTTTGGTTGTATGACTAGAAGCAGAGGAGCAAGTGTGTGCACTATTAATAGCTGAATGATACAAAATCTCCTGCTTCAGTTCATCTCCAGTACCTTCAGTGCATTACTAAGCTTAGGGCTTGAATCACTTACAAGCAGGTAGCCCCTGCTCTAGCAGAAAGGAAAATGCTGGGTCAGATAATCAGAAAAAGTTCATGAGGAAGCCTGCAAAACATTGACTTATCACTAGTGATAATACTCCTCTAAAGTGCATACTGATACCCAAACAACATGACAGCCTCAATCTTTTTTGAACCTGTCATCTCAAATACTGAAACCACAGCACTTACTCTTAGGGAGGATGGGGCTAGGAGACTCTGTTGGTCAGCCCTCAAGTGATAAGGGTTGGACTTGATGATCTCAGAGGTCCCTTCCAACCCAGCTGTTTCTATGATCCTGTGATTCTATGATAATGCTTCCCTGCTCAACTACCAGGGAAACAGGGCCTATTTAGCAAGAAGAGGGTTTTTCAGATGTTTCTCAAACATTTCTCAGCCTTCAGAAAGAAAGTTTGCTCTTATGTTAGAACAGAGCCCAAAACTCACACATGCAATGGCCCCTTCTGAGCAAGTTTCACCTTCTGTATTTCATTGATTGGATTGATTTGTGGATGTAAAATGATAATCAGAAACATAAGCAAGGTTGGAGTCTACTAGATCATTAGTTCTTGTGCTTTCTTTTGATGAGAAATCATTTAAAATTAGCCAATTCATAAAAAACAGTTAAGGGAATAAGTCTCTAAAAATACAGAGAGCTTTGGGTGGAGTTAGAGCCAGGTTGTTTCTGTGCTTGTCTTGGCATGGCTCTGACCTCAAAAGTCACCATGTTAACAAATAGCTTTCCTGAAAATTTCCACTGAAAACCTTGAGCTTCCCCACAGACCTGAACTAAAGCACATGCATCAGTTCTTGCTGGATCAAAGCCCAAGACTGCAAGTTGCTTATGACAGAGGCTGGGACTGCATGCATAGGCACGTGATAGCAGGTAATAAATAGCATAGTATAATTATTGTTGTTTAGGATGTAAACTAAAAGACCTTTTCCCCAAATTACCTTCAACTTTTAGTGGTAAAGTACTTACTTGTACCGAGCTTGGCTCCTCCTAGGAATCGATCACTTGAGCTGAAAGTTGACTTGTCCCAGACAGTCAAGTGTAGACATGATTGCTGTAGCTGAGCTGGGGTCACACCATCGAAGACAAACAAGTGTTTCCACTGAGGATAGGCTTCTTTCTTCAGGACAGGAGACTTTTGCCTTACCTCTGCTTGGTTTGGAAGGATAAGACAACTTTCCCAAAAAAATAAGAGTTCAGCAAAGTTACTGATTTCTCAACAAGAAAACAGAGCATTTGCAATAATCAGCTAAGGCTCTTTGTTTTACCTTAAAGAGCAAAAAAGTTTAGCTTAAGTACAAGATAGATCATGGTGCTAGTGTGTTTATTTTGGGATTTGCACCTTCTCCTGCTTGTCATTAATGTGAGTGCAAGTAGGTTCTTCTGGTCTGCTTTAACTTTGCAGTCACTGACTGCTGAAGGAGTCTTTACTCCACGTGCTGTTATTCAATACTGCCTAAAACCTGTCTTTCAGTAGCTAAAATGCTCACCCATTTCACCAAAGATAGGTGCCACAGCAGGTAAAATAGTGTTATGAGATGTAAGTTTACCCCAGTATTATACTTCTAATGGCATCTGATGCCTGACAACAGGAAAGTAAAATGATCCCACATACAAGCTACTCAGCATACTGAAGAAAAATTCAGTCCCTTCTCTTTCAAAATGTCTGGAATGAAGAGGATAAAAGTTTTCAATGTATCCCAAGCTTTACTTAATTCTGCAAAAGCTGAAACTAGGAATGACGATACTGTATTTGTTTGCAAATTTTTTTCCTCTCCTAATATCTAAAAGCACATACTTAAGCTAGTGAACTCTAAATTTTAATGACATCATTAAATTCTAAATTTCAAGACCAAGAGGGCAGGTGGGACCTGTCACCACTCTGCAAACTGCTGCTGTTCTGCAGGCACTCAAATGAAGCCATTACAAGGAAGTCTAAGTGTAGACGATGGCAGTTTCAAATGCAGTCTGCTGATGAAAACATGTTAATACATACATTTGCATGGAACACGTGACATTTCCTATTTGTAGTGTTAGGTCTCATACATACCCTTTAACAAAGGAGTTCAACACTCCAGCAGGTCTCAGCATGGGCAAGTTCTTAGCCCCAAATATCATAATCTGAAGCTGGCAGTTGGGAACTCCTTGGTCTTTGTTTCCTGAAAAAGGGAGCCCTTATCACATGAAATGCCCAGTCAGTTCAGCTCATAGCTTAAGATGCTGTTATAAGTAGGGGAATGCCTAAGTGGTACTACTCAGATAAGGAGTCATAAGGCTGTACTAGGAATATTTGAAAGATTTTAACATGTTTGTACAGTGTATGATTCACACAAAGAAAACCAAGCAATGAGTAGCAGGCTGCTTTGTGATTTCTGTCCCAAAGATAAAGCTTTCTGCTGTGTTTGTGAAATGTCAACACAGGACGGTACCCACAGAAACATTTCTCTGGAACAGTCAGAAGCAGGAGAAACAGCCAAACCCACGGTGTGATACTGCTCCTCTCACAGCTCTAGGTACATAGCAGAGACCCCAATACACAGGCCTGCACAGGGAGGAAGAATTGAAGAAAGCAAGCTGATAACTTTGGGGTCATTTGGAAAAGAAAAAATTAATACACCAAAAAGCACCATTTGCTGTAGCTGTTAAAAATCCCATACAGGAATATTACATGGACACATTGCCAGTCCTTCATTGATCTCAATTCTTTTCTAGCCAAGGGATTCACAGAATCATAGAACCATTTACACTGGAAAAGACCTCTATGAATGCTGAAACATTTTATACCTTCAAAATGGAAATTTTTATACTGGGCTGGTACCAAGAGTCTTGCAGACAAGAGGAGTTCCCCGCTGTACTGGGTAAGATCATCTTCAGGCTTTTCAAGCTTAAGAAAGGGACATACAGAAGTTTGCATTACTGCAATCATTCTCTTACACATCTTTGTCAGAGCTTATTTGTGTTTGTGACACATCTTACTAATGGGCTGGATTGACAGCATTTTTCCCTCAATGATCTCAGAAGGGTGATCTTTTTCATAGCCTTTACAGCATCTTGCTCTTAAAATAAAAATAAGAACAAAAACTAAGAATCACCTTGGGTTTGAGTTGATACCAGTCAAATAACTGCATTGAGTCCTCTTCAAAATTCCATGCTGCCAGTGGAATCACTACTTCCCCCAAAAACACCCTGTATTTGAGTGCTCCCGCATGCCACACAGAGATCTGAAGTTGCCGACTTCGCAGCTGGGAGTATTCAATCTTGTACTAGAAAGATAAACAGCATTTACAGAGCAATACACAGGATGAATGCAGCCCACGTTCATGACCTGCTTACAGGAAGCCCAGGCACAGCATGGCTGAAGGCAGATATGAACCATGATGTCTGCGTATGCTTTGCAATCTGCATATTACCCCACAATTTAAATGCTAAATAACGCTCATTCAAATATATATCAACATTCCAGGAATACCTTGACCTGCCTTGCTAAAGATTTTGATTATTAATTCAGAGCTTTAAATAATTCTTGACCATTTTTGCTGGGTTAGGTGTTTTTTTTTTCATTTGTTTGGTTTTTTGGTTTGTTTGTTTCTTTTTTTGGTTTGGTTTGGGTTTTGTTGGGGGTTGGGGTTTTTTTTTATATTTCTGTTTACGCTCCCAGCAGAATTTGTCTGCTCTGGAGGCCAGTTCAAGATTAAGACATCTAATGACGGTGCTGAAACTCCCATCCTGTTCAGTGGACATCTACTTAATGCAGTCAGTCAGCAGGGGCAAGGAAGTAACTCAGGTGATCACTAATTAAAGCCTTGATCCACTCCCCAAACATAGTTAGAGCCCTTTGAGACATTGTTGGGTATCTAATATACCACATGGTATACGGTATGTGGGTATCTAATATACCCACATGAGAGTGGCAAACATGATACCCAGCCCATAGGTGACCTACACTGAAAGCTGAAGGCAATGGAGAGGCAAGGAAATCACTATCCATATTTAGGCTGTTGAATCAGAAGCTGGGTGTAGGCTCTGTGGCTAATCACCCTGAACCACCCTGGGCTCCAGTGATTCCCAGGAGCACTTGCAATTCCCTCTAAATGCAGGTGCCTTAACTTGCAGCTGAATCCCACCAAGCTGGATCTCAGTGGCATGATGTAGTTCACCTGTAATAGTGCTATGCACTTTTGACCATTTTCACTGAATTCAGTTCCTGAACGTACAAAACCCCATGTCTATGGAAGACACTTTGCTTTTGCAAAGGTAACTCAGAACAACACTGGTATTCATTAAAAGTGCTCTCTTGGACAAAGGCAGACTCTTCTAATGGTTTGCCATTTACTGTTGCAACTCCAAAAGCATTTTCTCTTATTTGGACTGAAAAAACCATAATTTTTAAAATTATTATTGTTAGCGACTCCTAAATTTGCCCTATCAGGTCGATTCAGAACTTGCAGGATTGTACCATAGAAAAGCACACTTAGCAGCAACACAGTTGCAAACGGTACCTTCAAAGTCTCATTGAACTCTGGATCCACTGTGCTCTTTTTGACAGCTGTCTTTCGCTTGCTCCAAGGAGATTTATCAGGAAGTAAATAAACCTTAACATACCTTAGAGAGAGAGAGAAAGATACATTGAAAATGATCAGAAGGGGCAGGGAGAAAACAATTAGATGAGAGGAGTTTTTCTTATTTCTTAAACAATTTTATTGATTTTGTAAGTTTCCATCAACAAAATGGCAAAATGTGATTTATATCTTTTCTCAGTAAAAACAGATAGACTATAAGGAACCCTGTGTATCATTCTGCTAATGTGCTTCAATTCCATTGTAACTCAGAAAGGATTAGGATCTGAATAGGAATCTTCTGGTTTTGTACTCTTGGCCTCTGATAAAATAGCCCCTAAAGAAATCACCTTCCAGGTTGAGTGACAGTTTTGATGAAAACAAACAGCATATTATGTGCTCAAAGAAAAAAAAACCCTCAATCAACTTTAGGATCACTGCTGCTTGTTCATAAAGAAAATATCTTGTCTTCACAACACTAGGTACCATGTAGCAAAAAAGGTATTATCACATAAATAATACATAATAATTCATAAGTCTTAAAAATGCTAATTGTTCTAACAGCCACTAGAATGAAAATGGGAGATTGCCTAAAAGTTGTCAAAATTGCCCTAACATTGATTCAAGGAAAACCAGGAAAAAAAGTTTCTGGAAGCTGAGTTGCACCAAAATCCAGCAGTAATGATTCCTACCCAAAGTTTCTTATGTGTAGGTCAAGTGAACACTAATACCTAAATAGTCTCCTTACTATCAGTTCAGTGGGCTATAATTGGGTTATGGCTTCAAAACTTAAGAGTTTTAGCCATAGAGAGTGCTCACGGCTTGTCAGGGAAAGGAGTGATTGTTTACTTAATACTAAATATTTTTAAACTGTATTTGTTGTATATATTTCACATATTATGATTTAAACCAATTCTAAAACAGCCTTTTGATTAACTTGCTGGGTAAATAAAAATCAGCTGTACCTCATATCATAGCTGCAAAACTTACACATTTTCCCTATTTTTTCTGAACTTATCCATAGATAAAACTACTTTCTAAAATACACAAGTCCTAGAAGTTTTAACCTCTTTTTCTATGACCTCAAATCAATTTAATTAAAATGTAGCCAGTCAGACTTCAAACCAGCAAATAAGCTAAGTAACTCAACAGGTTTTAAACATCAGTTAAAAGTCTGCTTTTCAGCAAGCATGTTAAGAGAGTTATACTATAATTTTTCTGTTGGCTTGGAAACCAACAGAAATATATAAATATGTGCCAATAGAGAACATAATGTTTACTACACAACACTTCCCACATTGCCTTTCAGCTTTCCTGTAATTGTTTGCTTGGCTTAATTACCAGGGGACTTAAAGAACCTTGACCCACTTCTGAAGTGCTCCCAAACTGTCCTGCTCCACAAGCTGCTGTTCCAGCAAGGCACTGCTCATCACCAAGCTTGTCTTCATGACTATTCTCTGCAAGATGCACAAAAGCCCTCGACCTTCTGGGTGAAGGTGACTGCAAGTCCTCAGTTCCAACATGGTCACTCAAATGCTCAAACACGGTGTGACAGCAGGGACAAGAACAGGTAGTTAGGTATTCTACCTGTTGATTTTCTATCGGTGGTTGCTGCGTGGTCAGAGAGCATTGTTAAGCAATAAAGAGATAAATCACCAAGGCTTAACTGTCCAGCAAAAATTTCTATGGCATATTTTATCTACAGAAGTAAATATTTCTTCTTCTTACAATGATACGTAATTATTAAGCAGCCTTAGACTTTAAGATCCATTGCAGCATCTGAAATTTCCACTCTCATTACAGAAGATAAAAGCATCCAAGTAGTATAGCAATCACCCAGTGAGCCACAGTGAGTCAGCAGACATATTAGGAACAGGTCAGCCACTTACATATTAATTTTCTGGGCACAACTTAAGAACTAAAATCTGAACAGCTATTCTTGAGGTCCAAAGGTACTCATCAGCAACATAGATACCCAACTGCCTGCTCACAAGAAGGGAGAGGGACAATTCCTAGCAGAAAATTGTAAGAATGGAATAAGCATTGGTATGAAACATATTTGTCTTGCAGTGTGTATATGTACAAAGGGCTGGTACGTATGTTGGAGGTTCTGAAAGTGCCAATATGGCATACCATCATATATCAATCCATTTCAATCACAACATGCATAAGTATCTCAAAAAACCAGAATATTTGCCTTATGTTTTTTCTCCTCCTCTGCAAAATACTTACGGGTTACACTTTTTCTTCTTCTCTTCTCCGTAAGCCAGGTTCTTGCATCCCTTGATGCAAATTTCCAAGATGTAAGCTTTGAAGATGTATCTTAAGGCAAACTCTATTTCTCCTGTGACATTAGCTTTGCCAAAATTGCCAGATTCAGTGCAAGTGCTGTTAAGACTAAACAAACTTCCCTAAGAAAAGACAAACATTTGGGAAAATGAGTGTCAGATCAAACAGGACAAAACATTTATTTCCTTTAATAGTCAGTATCTTCATAGACATTACTGTAAAGCTACTGCAAATCACAAAATGTAAGGTAACCTGTATAAAACATTCCACTGCTTCCATAATAGCCCTGAAAATTATGACTGTAATTGCAATAACAACTGCTTTGCCCTGCTCTAGGGCAAAGCTCTCTAGGCTAGGAAATTGCTTTGTTAAGTAACTTCTAGATCTAGAAATTGTCTTAGAATAAAACTGCTATGTCGCTTCCCATAAGAAAATTGGGTAAGTGTCTGAAAGGGATTGAAAAAAAACTCTGAAATCTAAGAAAGTACAAAACATTGAATTAGACTCCTTTTAGTACATAGCACACAGTAGAGTACACCACTGAGACATTAGTTTCTGTCGTGTATTAAAGGAAACATAAGTGGCCTGCACATTCCATAAATACTTTACAAGATGCCTCAATTCCACATAAAAATTGCACACTTTGTACTGCAGACCAGTAGGATTCAGGAAAGATTAAAATAGGAAGACTTCCTGTTGTTGAATTCTGGTGCAAAGAGAAGGTGTCTCCTAGTTCACCTTGTTCTCCTTTCAATCTACTTTCACCTTTGGGGCAAAGGTTTGGATGCTGTCCATCCACATATACAAAAACCACTTGCATCCAGCACTACAGAAGCCATGACAGGGCAAAGAAGGAAGAGACTATAATGCTTTCTGTGGCCCAGCCCAGACATGTAACTTTATGGTGCTATGTAGCCTTCACTGTAACAACGTATCAACTAAAAATAGTTTGGTCTCCATTCATTATAATGATATTCTTTAAGGTGAGCCCTAGGAATTTTTTACATCGCATTTGTCACGAAGACTCAATTGTTGTTGTGATTAGTCTCACAGCAACATTGCCCTAGATTGCTAAGATATCTGTGTTAGATCACTCCTCCCTCTGAAAATAAACACCAACCCACACAGGACTGGTTAACCAAGGAGTTCTGAATTGCACAACCCAGCAGCTAAGATTGCAGAGTAGTGTTTATAAGATCATATCTCTCTTCCATGTAGATACTTTTCTTCATTTGTGCAGCATGCCAAATACTCAATTCACACCAACAGATCCATTAGATTAAAGCACCTATCTACTCTATCTTATAAACTCTAAGTAACACACATACATGACAAAAGAAGAGCCAAGTGCTTGCTGAGGAAGTCAAAAGAACTTCAGGACTTTTTTGACCTGATGCTTGTTGCACGTAATCTTGCTCCCTCCATAAGATGTTTATCAATGTAATCAATCTCCTTTGCAGCTTTGTTTTGCTCTGCTCTTTCACTCACTGACATATTTTTATTCACTTGACCAGAAAATTATTATTTTCCACCAAAATCCTTTATGGTAATGGAATACAAAGAGTTTTGTTTTAGCTCATGTCCTATGAAAAGGTTCTGTGAAAGTCCCTAATATTTATTCCACAGAACACCTTATTTATTTAGAAAGGCTGGATAGGTGTCCTGGACTGAATATCACCACACCTCTCCTAGCTGCTCAGGTGTCACATACATTCAATGTAGAAGTCACCATCCTTTTTGTTCAGCGAACAGGGATTTAGCAATGACTTAATGTATTGTACTTCTGGTGGCATGACTGGAAGCAATGCCATCTGATAGTTGGGAAGATACATTTTTATGGAGTGGCCTTCAATATCCAGCACTTATCCATAAAGAGAAGCTTAATGGAATTTGTCCCCTCTTACAAGATAGTAAAAATATTACAGTTTTAAGCCTGAGCCCTTTATAGACCAGTTCAAATGGTCTATAGCATCAGGAATGTAATCCACAAGTTATTACCCATTTGTCAGCTTAACACCTCAGACTCCACAGTGCAGTAAACTGTCAGAGAGCACCAAGGTCCCTGTGTGTGTTTATACTTCTCTGTAAAGCCAGCAGGCTGGTTTAATTTTGATTCCCTAAATCATTTTACAAGGTCGGTCATGAATTCTTTGGATACTTCACCCTGCTTAACCTTGTCACTAATACATAGAAATTAGCTTCCACAGTTAATCATAGGGGCTTTAAAGTATGTGCTGAATTCATTTGTAACCAGCTTCCCTCTCTCTCATCTGCAGTATTCAAAATGCCATCCATCAGAGGATGATTCAATATCATGCCCTAAGCCTATGAACTGCTCCTCTGGCTTCCATCACTGCCAGTTTCCTCTTCAATCACTGACATTCTGACATTTGAATTTCCACTGACATTTCCAATACCACAGTTCTTGTAGACTGACAAAACCCTTCTGTTAAATGAAGCTTGAAGAGAAAAAGCTAACTATTAGATTAGAAAGTACTATGTTCATAATCCCAACCTTAATATAAATTGGGAAGAATGTTAGTTGCATTTGCAAAATTCAGAAGAAGCCGCTTTATAAATTATTCATTATTAATTGATGTATCCATCTATCAATTATCCATTATTAATTTGATTTGGCTTATGCTTCAGAAAGTTCACAGTGTTACTATGAGGACCATGCCAAAGGCAATCAGTCTTTCATCAGATACAAACTCAAGTAAAATTCTTCCTTCATTTTGTAATATAATCTAAAATACACCAATGTTTTACACAAGCTTTTATATTTGTTCCCTTTAAGCACCTGTTCTATGTCTTTCATCCTTTAACTTACATGTTTTCTGCCATCACAGAAAACCGTATCGCTTGTGGGACTGGTTGTTATGTCTTCTTCCTCCTTGCAACTACTTTTTGTCAAAATTTCACTGTCATTTTGGGCCCCAGTGATGAGCTGTTGCAGACTGGGTGTACTTTTCATCTGTAAGAAATTCAGAAAGTAGGTTTTTTTAAGATAAAGAAAATGTCCTGGTTCCTTCAGGAAAGCTATCAAAAGAAAATGCAGTAAATAGCTACAGTTGACTCTGATCAAGGTCATGCAGGTGGCACACTTTCAAAGATAATGTAGTACCTTAAATGTTGATTTATAACTCTCTCCTTCCAGCTAGTGGTACATTCACTATATTAATAATTATCTAAAATCAGCATACCACTAGCTAATGTAATGATCACTACCACAGCAATTATTAACAACAGTCTACTAATAATACACCAAAAGTAGTAATATACTAATAAAAGGCCTTATTAGCCCTTAACAAAACAGTAATTTTGGAAGAAAAACAATAATCTTGCCTCCAGGAAATGAAAAATAGTATTTTGCAATATGTATGACACATGCCCATGTTTACTTATGCAAGAATGAATGTACGTTGAAAGGGACTTCAAAATAGAAAAAGACAAGTTCATATTTAACTTTGTTTATAGAAAAAGCTTAAATTTCCAAGGTGTTCTTGACTTTGCTTTGACTATGTCCATTCACCTTTCCAATTTTTCCATGAAAACTCTGATAATTTGAGAAAAATTGAGATAGATAGATAGATAGATATAGCAAAACTCCTTGAGATTTTTCTTCAGCCACCTCTGTTATGCAGAACAACAGTTAATAGAAAGAAGTGCCAAAAGATTAATACATATGGCTAGAAATATGCTGAAATTAGATTTTAGCTCATTCAGGCACACCACTTTCCCTGGATAATATAATCTATGAAAAACATATTCACAGCTCAGTGGGTCCAAAAAGAGTGAGGTGAGAAATTTTATATGGTTAGGATGTAAAAAAATAATTTCTTTTTCAAATTGTGTAACAGAGGTTACCTGAAAGACTAGAAAGAATACAGTCTGACTAAAATCAACAAAAAGAATTGGTACTTTTTTGTATAAAAGAAACAGGTAATATATACTTAACAAACCTGAGAGCCCCTACTGCACAGTCAGCAGAAAGCACTAAAGAATGAGGACAACAGATGAGATAATATATTGAGATTACTTCTGAAAAAAAACAGGATGTGCAAAATCCTAACCATAATGCTGTTATGATGACACACAGATACTGTTATGTGTAATAACTACCCGACCTTAAGAAGAGATGTAAGAATTATGTTCCCTTGTGAGAGGGAAAGAGACAGAAAATGCATTGAGAATATAGTCTCAAAAACCCCAAACAAAACCAAAATAGTGTATTTCCCAGCACAGAAATTGCCTCCTGCTTTATAAAACCTAAACCACCACAGATTTAATTTGCTGAACACAACAGCCTACTACACATTGAATTTTAGCTTCTACTTGTATCAGGAAGACTTTGGTTGTGTAATACAGACAATAAGTGACTGACAAGGCACCATAACTACCAGTGCTAAACTTAGCATCAGGTCGCACAAGCAAGACTCCCCCCTAGCCCAGCTCTAATGTCACAGGAGAGGTATCCCACAGCTACCAATGCACCACAAACAGCTTCCACACATTGCACATGCTTGCTTGTTCCCCCAGGAAGGCAGGTATAATTGCAGTTCCCTTAATAAACTTGGAGATTCTGATGACAAGAGGCCCTTGAAAACACTATTCAATTAACTTCCCAAATCCAGATTTTACACTGGCTGGTGGTTTTTGCTATTGCATTGGGGTTTTCTCACTAATACTGAGGTTAAATATAATGTCTTTAAACTTTAATCTGGAGGAATCAAGCTCTGAACACATCACAAATTTAGAAAACTTATCTAAGAAACAGATAATGTTCTAGAGAACGAAGTAGTGCCCCAGTTTTATATACTGCACATTCAGCTATTACTTTATAGTCATTCCCAAGAGAAAAATACACACTTTCCAGGGGGAAAAAATCCACTGTTTTGATTCAGTCTCTGATAATGAAAAGTTCTCTCTGGTGTGGAAAGCACAACAAGTAAAATTTCTATACCATATTTCATTATAAATGTAATTAGTTGTTTTGCAAGTGTAATTTAAAATATGTTCTGTCCCATAACTTAAGGTATAGTTCTAGTAGGGATATAAACAGCTACCCTTACTAAAGGAAAACAAAGATGGGAAAGAAAAAAAATAAATTGAATAATAATAAATAGTGCCATTGACAGAAATTAAAAGTAGTTTTTAAACACACAGTAACAACACAAAAAGTCATGATATAAGTGTGGGAAGAGAAGAGTAAAATTTCCTTTAACATGAAAAAAACTAAAATGTCAAAAATTATGTTTACAAAAAAAAAATCAACAGTAATTCCAGTAAAATTAAAATTCTAGCTTAAGGATAGTCTAACTGGTTTAAATGAAACAAAAGGTTCCTGGTTCAGAGAAATAGTGCTCTGGCACACAAACAACATTGAAATCTATCTTTCAAAACCTGCAATGCAAAGTGTGGACATAAATTAAGTCCTAAATCTTTAAAGGGGTGATTTAAACCCCACATAAATAATTTGGAATCTTCTACTAATACATTTCTCAAGCCAAAGAGTCCATATCCATCTTTTTAACATGACAGATTTTTTGCGATCAGTGTGAGATGTAGCATAGTTGAAATCCACATTATCTCCAACTCTGATGCTTTAAAAGAGCAATGCTCTGCCTGTGGAATAAAGTTAACACTGAAATGTGGCTTGCCACAATGAAAGCAGCACTCCAGTAACCAGTAATTGTCGCCAATTCTGTTCATAATTTAATTTTATACAAAAATACCAGAACTAATTTCACAGAGTTCACAGACCTTGCTGGGCCAATTCAGACTGCCATTCCATGCAGTTTGATATCCTGTCTCTTCCATTTAACAGCACCTGACACTTCAGAGGAAAGTGAACAATGTGCACCAAGGGAGCTGTGAGTAATGTGTGCCAGGAGGTCTGGCCCAAAGCAAGAGCTTTTCTCAGCACCTAATTCAGGCACTTAGCAGACCACATTTACCTCATTCAGATGAACAAGGCAATTCAATAAGTAGCCGCTATGTGGAAAACTGAGTGTGGACAAAGTTCAGTCACTTGAGAGCTGAAAGCATACAAAACAAAATCTTCAGTGTAACTTTAAAGCAGAAGTGTGACATCATTTTCAGCCCTGCACAATTTGTGGGAAAACAGATGACTGGATTTTTCTCAAACTTCTCAAGAAAACACTGAAAGTTAGAGACTGTAACCAAAGCAAAAGGAAAGGGGAAGTTGCACAGCAACTAACAGTAATGTTTTCTCCCTGCCAAGTCAAAAATGTTCAAAGATTGCCAGGATGGTTTTGGGATGGTCATAGCTTGGTCCTGTTCGGCAGGAAGAGGGCAAGACAGAGTACATCTCTGCAGCCCAACAATCACATAGAGCAGACATCAAATCTGCCTCAAGAGAGCCTGTGAACACCTGAGAGCAAAATGACCCATCCCCTCCCTCTCTATATGAAGGTCTTTGTAAAAATCTCAGTCTAACATTTCAACTCTGGACTGAAATCAATTGTGCAAACTCTGTCAAAACCCCTGTGGAGAATAAGAGTTCTGATCATGGTCAGTGAACATCAGCTGAGCTCTGTTCATACAAGTAAAATTCCTCTGTATAAGTCATTGCTCTCACAAATATATTTCATTCATGAAACAGCTCTTACAGTTCGAGACAGTGTATAATAATATGGATACCTTGCTTGTAATGTTGATGGCAGTGTCAGACTGGCTCCTTCTTTGCCACCTTCTTTCCACATTCTTCCCAAAGTCTGTGGTTAGGACACATCTGTCAGTCATATCATTCTGAGACTTTGAGATTTCTGAAGTGAAAATAAAGAGAAAAGTCACTATAACAAACTTTGCAAGCAATCCTTTAGGATTTATAGGCTAATTCTGTAGCTTTCAAACTTTTATCCTGCAACTTTAGTGTTGATCTCCTAAGAGTAAGAAACAGATGGGAAGACAAGTGCATGTCACATTTTATGTAATTATACTTTGCCTGCCTAAATCTTTCCTGCTATTTCAATTGGAAATTATACTCTTTGTTGCCTATTGTCAGAACTACTGCCATCAAATACAGTTTCCTTGCAGAAATAGCTACTACAGTCCGTATGTATAGATTGATTTGTAAAGTGGTTTGGTTTGGTTTGGTTCAGGATTAAAGCAAGATCATTATAACAACATAAAGCAATATGACAATGAAAATCAGAAAGCAGAGCATATTGGAAAATATTTAGAAATTTATCCAAAATATGTATGAAAGGAGAGATATTACATACTCTGTTCCCAAACCACATATAATTTTAAGAACATGACTAGCCCTCATTGACTTCAATAACATTACTCATACAGATAAGCTTAGCCATACTGAAGTACCTTATTGAATTAGCGCTTCAGTAACATCTAGTTTATTGTCAAATAAATCTACAGGGCAACTGGACATTTAATGCACCACTTTTCACTTCTTATTCCTCAGTGTACATTCAGAATTTCACTTAAAGGGAAGGGCAGCACTCATCCATGATTTCTGAAGTTGAAAATAGCAGGTTTAGCTGCAGACACTTTGTTGCTAATCCCAGATAGCTATTTCATGTACCACTTAAAAGTTATTAATTCTTCATGAGAGACTATCATATGTTTAATTCATACAGAAGAAATAAATACTTTTCTCACAACATGAACCTCTGTGGAGAAACCTCTCACACAGCAGACAATATGACAGTGATGGTATTGAAAAACAATGGGACTCAAGTGTGATTTTTAAAAGGCACTCTGGGGTAGTTTTGTTCTTAGCAGCAATCAGTCCTCAGATGTTTACTGTACTCTTTGTACATCATTAAGGAACCATGTGACCTATTCAAATGCAGGCTCAATTAAGCCACCCCCGTAAATGAAACCCGATTTTTAAAATACACAGTGAAATCAGAGATCATAAAAGAGAGTGAGAATTCTGATGGAATAGATACAATCTGAATATCTTGAGCAGCAGTCAAAGCGGAAACCCCAGCTTGCCTTACACTCTCCTAAAATGAACAGGTTACAGAACAGGTTATTGTGAGAAACATGAATGTTCAGTTTTCATATCTATTCCTCCTTTGGCTTCTCTACCCAAACGTCAGCAAAGATGGACACTATCTCTAGAGCCAAGGGTGGCTTTTTACTGCAAATAAAACTACAGCCAGTAACTCATTTTACATTCACCAAATGGCAACCATTGGATTATAATCTCCTGTTGCTGCCAAGCCACGCTGGAACAGGAGGTAACAGCGTAAAGAGCAGACTGTACAATGGCCGTTCTGTGCTGCACTCGCTAATCCTTTGTTCCCACTGCTCTCACACACACCCCGGCTCCAGTGATAGAATCAGAGGCATAACGAAGTTCTCCGTGTTTATTTACTTCAGTGCACAGGAGCGGGATGTATTAAATACCTCTGCAAACCAGGACATTTTTATCTAGATAAGATACAGAGTACTAACTTTAGACACTTGTGACCAAATGCTTTTATCAGCACAGCGCCAGGCTTCACTGGAGGCCATATTGTCTGAAAAAGTTGGTTTCTTAAGAAATCCAATTCTTTCTCTTCGTAAGACTTCCAATGCTTTTTAATTATTGACTTCAGTGATTGCAACAGCCTGTTATTTTCTCACAAATCGAACTGCTCTACCCTAACTGAGGATGGTATCACCTGCATGGGGTTTCTCACACAGCTGAGCCGATCTAACAAGTAGCTGCCGTCTCCCTCTTCAACCACTGCTCTTCCCTCCTCAATCCCTGGCTCCTGACCACATGGTACCCTCCACTGTACATGTTCCAACACATATGTCCTACCTTGAGCCTATTGACTCACTAAACCAGCAGAAAAGTATCTATATGTTTTGTCCAGGTTAATGTTATGCCCTTAAAATTAGCTAAACCAGTTTCCAGAGGGGTCCAGAAACACCAGTGCTAATTCAAGTCACAGCAGCATAAGGCTAGAAACAGGGAAAGAAGAAAAAGATGTGAGTGGAGGAGGATCTTCCATTTGGTAGTAGTGAACTAATAAATTAGCTTGCTGCAGTCCTGACAGTCTTTACCAGTAACTGTGGGATATGACCAGGCTTCAAACTATCAGAAAGCTGGATAAATTACTTTGCACCCAGTTCAGTGCTGCCTCACCTATCTGCTTCCAGTAACAGTGTCCTATACTACCCTATATTTTTCTGTGTGGAGCAACAGTCACTGTGTCTCTGCATGGCTTTAATATGTGTTCACGCAGACTCAACATTGAATTTGCATAGTTAAAGGAAAACAGCCCATTAGGGTGGGTAGAAGAAGCTAAAGGAAAGACCAAACAAGAGGTAAGGCAAGAGGTTAGGGGGAAAGGCAGAAAGGCACTAAAGCCAGTTTTATTCAGGTCTGGGCTCACATGTGGGGTTGTGTAAGTTGAAGCCAGCAAGAAAATATTACGGTTTGTTCAAATACATGCAAATTTGCAAGCCTCTGTAATCTTCCTAAGGCTCAGAAGTGGTTTTCTTCTGGTCATTGATGCCTTTGTTTTTCACACTGCCTGGCTGTCCTTAGTGTAGTCAGTCTTAGAGGTGCACACACAGTCTGCAGCCCAAGGAACAAGCAGCATAAGAGAACGGAAGGAACCAAAAGTATCAGAATAAAAGAGGAGTTGTTAAGACTGGACGGCACCTAGAAATATGCACTGCAAAAAACCCACTCAACTAGACAGACTGAGAAAGAGGAAGGAAGTCCTCATGAAAACTGCCAGTAAACGAAAATATTAAACTCTACTTCCATTAAATAGCAGACTCTTTGACAGTCAGTTGTGGTTCAGTCAGACAGAAAACATGAAGATCAATACAGCAGAAATTGGTTATTACTTGGTGCTAACATGAGTTAAATACACTGTATCTGAAAACCTGGTAAACTTAAAGATTGTATACTACAGTCTTTTCAGTCTTTACAGGAAAGCCATTCTGGGTTGATATAATCAGCAAATTTAAAAACTAGCAGAACACTGAAGGAGAATTTGATTTACTATATTATTTTTCAGATTGGCATAGCCTTAGCATTAATCATTTCAGCCATTACTCAATATCCTTGTTTTATAACTATTTCTTGGCCAACACTGTGGCCAAAAAATTGAAACATTTGACTTCATTACTATAGAATGACAAAACAGTGAAAGCTACTTACTTTTTATATGTGTTGTGAGAGACAAAAACAAGTTTTCCACAGATTTATTAAACCTTTTAGACTCTCCAAGTTCCTGCAAATGGGAGATGCCATGAGTAAGAAAACACAACATTTGTCATTTTAAAGTTTCCATGATTATATCAGATGGTAAGGCTGCAGCCCTTTGCTCACTTCTGTAGAAAAATATATCTGAGGACATACATAGGCATAGTTGAAAACTGTCAGCTATTGAAGATGGAAAGTAATCTTTTCAGTTCCATAGTCTTTGACATATAAGTGGAACTCCTTGTAGGAAGATCACAGAGCAATTTCATAAATACAGCTAATTACGTCACCAGTTTGTTGTAATGTGGTTAATACTTTTATCTATTACAGATGTTCCTGTGCCTCTGAATCAAAGTTTTGTCAAACTCCAGGTATGCACATAAGACTGTTTACAGAACTGCAATGGGCTTAAAAAACAGACCTGAGGACCCAGTCCAAAATGAACCAAAATAGTGATTCAGTGCAACTTTTATGTGTTCTGAGCCATGTCCTACTATTCTGTCCACTAGAAACTGTAATGCAAAGGCAACCATCAAATTCACTGTTCTTCACTCAATAACAAAAGTGACACATGAAATGGTCATTTTATAAATAACTATTGAATATCTTAGGAACATGGGATCCTCTTCAGGTTTGAGGGGAGCTCAGGAGATCCCAGTCCAGTCTTCCAATAGTGAGGCCCCAAAAACCATATGCAGTATTCCAGTGTCAAGAAGAGTGGTGGAACACTTCCCTCAAAAACTGGAAACTAATTGAAAACAGCCCTCATAGCCTCTAATCTTTCTCTCCTGGTACCAACACAGCATAAAAATAATGACAAAGAACATAAGGCATTGTTTATATGGCAGTGTGATGTTATAGCAGTTGTTGTTTACTACATTTCTGTGGCTGGCCTTTACACATGAATGAAACTCTTCGAGATGAGTATATATATATATGTATATTTTGCGGATACGTACATTTACCATCACATTGATTCCTGCTGTTGATTCTGTGAAAGGAGGTGGAGTTGGAGGTACGACAGAAATTTTACTAGAAATTTAAGAGATTAACAGTTAACAACATTTAATATATTATGCCAATAGATGGATAAATAAACCATGTCCATGCACAGTATCTTTATTATATGGTCTTTCCTGTACTCAAAAAAAATCTGGGTTGACATCCTGTGTCTTTAAGGGTTGCAGCACAAGTTTGTTGCCTGTTCTTAAAAATTAGGTATACCTTTCTATCTTCTTAATTGTGGGCTGACCTAGGTAAAATTATTGAATTAGAACTACCAGGAAGACCTAAGTTAGGACAGACTCCCTAAACTTCTATACAGCTAGCAGTATTACAATCTGTGTTCTGAGTTCTAAAACACAATTCCTGTATAACACATCCCATTTCTATTTCAGAAATGTTTTCAGAAAATAGTCATCTTTATTTACAATAATGAAAGGATCCTTCCTTGCCTGAGTCCAGAGCTGTTAGAGGACCTTTACAACATTCCTGCCATTCCATCTGTGGTAAATAGTGCTGGTCTGTGAAAAAGAATCTAACTGTTATCTGACTGATTCTGTTATCACAGCACAATCACAGATCTCAAGGCAGCTGCTAAACTTCCTTTTTGATTCTCTTCTAGTTTTACCACATTTACGTAAAAGCGAGCTCTGGTTAGGATCTTATCTAGTTGACTATAAGTTTCTGTCTTATCCAGCTATGCCTAGCCAGATAATTATAATAAATTGAGACCATCTTTATATATGTTACTTTAAGTGGGATTTTGGGGGGAGGAGGGGGTTTGGTTCATTAGTTTTATTTTTGGTGGTACTTTTTGTTGTTGTGGTTGGGTATTGTGTTTTAAGGAAGAGGGTTACTTTAATACCATATAGTTTAAGCAGACTGTTCATTATATATCACTGGTAATAACTTAAGTATGGGCATGCTTTATCCTCTAGTCAAAGTATTTATTCACTCTAAATTAGACTTTTTACTTTTTTAAAGTTTGGTTAGTGGAAATGTCTAATTGAATACAGAGCTTCCTGTCTACTATTTATTCTAAAACTGTCATATCAGCAATACCTCCCATTGAATCAATAATGATGCTATTATGACAATTAGTAAATAGTGTTCATCTATGATCATTTAAAAGTATTGTGCAAATTTAACAGATAATGGTATAAACAGTTATGCAAAAAATATAAGCACATAAAAATAATGGACGTCCCTTCATTTCAAGGAAGACACTATTACTCTAAACATAGTACTCTGTTGTACTTGAGATCTTTTCTATGGATTGCTGACAGATAAAAGTGACAATTTTTCTACGTTTTTGTCATTTGTACTCCAAAAGTGTTGAATTTTGTTTTTCATAATAAAAAAATACAAACTGTTGGCTAGTTTATAACATAAAATATATAACCTATACAAATTCTCAGTGTCCTAGGACCGTTTGTCCTTTTGAGTATTACCTCAGTTTCTGATAAGATTTCAAGAGCTTTGCACCAACTGTTTCATGTCTGCCTGTGAAGGAGGAAAAAAAATCCAAAGGTCATTTAGCAACAACAGCAGTTACTAATGCCAGTATAACACTTTTTAAAATCAGTGCCTTTCAGGAACTGGCCCGTATTTACAGAAACTCGTGCACATATAAGTGAGGAGTGAAATCGATTCCCACCTAATGCATTAGCATACATGCCAAGCAACACAAGTTTCTCCTGTGTCACAAACTGTGGTGATTTCACCTCTCACGGGTGACACATTCAGACTAACTCTTCACAAATGCTAAGGACAATCACATACAGATGCTAACAGGCCCATTCCTACAGGTTGCTAAGTGCTCTCAGCCTCCTGACGTCCAGGAGGCAGGCAGTGCACCGGCCCACTGCACTAAAACACACTTCAGCCATAAAACTCAAACACTAAGGAAAGCTTAAAAATGTCTATAAGAGCAGGCACATGGTCATCTCTTGCATTTCATGAAAAATTCCTCTCACTTTTCCTACAAGAGACCTGAACAACCATAAAAATGCTTGACTAGCTCACAAACATGAGCAAAACCCTCTTTAAGACTATCCCTGCAGGGAAATAACAACCATGTCACATTCCTCAGGTGAGCAACCACATGGTGTAAAGAACACCCAGGAGCAAGCACTTCATCAGGCACAAAGAATGAAGACTCATAAAACTCTAGTCTGTTCCCAGGTGATCACAAACACAAAGAATGGCTAAAAGCATGTTACAAATGACCAACTAAAATTATCTGGAGTATCTTTAATTACTAATAATTCCTAATACAGAAAGCAGCACATAATCCACGTTTTACTAAAGATGGTATTAACTATAACATTAACTATAACATTGCTTACATAAAAGTAGTAAACCTTGGTGGTGATAGAAATAATAGTAAGCTCATCAATATTACAGCTTTCAATCAGGACTCCATTATTCATGCTCTATTATTAATAAGTAATATTTACTATCTTAGATTTTAAATTTATTAGCCATTAAAGGCAATATACCACTTTAATGAAAATATTGATCTTATTCTTTAGGTAGAAGCTACCAAAAAATTAATAAAAAGCATACTGATGTCACTCTTTGGGTTATTTTAGTCTGTAACATGAGAAAATTTCACTGTAACATGTATTTTTTTTTCAGTTAAACTTACTTTCCAGTGAATACTTCACTTATGCTGTATTTTCAAACCAAAAGAGGGCACTGTCTCTCCAGGATTGAAGAATGCACAAAGGCTGCTGTGTTTCAGTTTGCCATTTTTTTAACCTCTTTAATTATATCAGTTGGTCTAATCAAAGGAACTAAACAAAACATATTTCTCCCTGCAGGTTTATCTTCTGTATATCTTTAGATCCTTGTGACTTCAACAGTATAACTAAGCAAAATGCTTCAAGCACCCACAAAGCTTTGATAATTCAAAGTGAGAACTCATTTATTTTGCTGGAAAAAGAGACAGTCAGTACCTTCAATAACAGAGAGATTGATAAAATTACCAGCTTTAGACTCACTGAAAAGATCGAGGGGAAACTATTAATAACAGTAATTGGATAAAATTGTGGTTTTAAAGATCAGTCAACTAACACATTAAAATCAGAAATTGTCTTACCTAGAATGGACTACAGTGAAATCTTTCAAATTTGAAATTAATTTAATTAGCAGGAGCTGTAGTTTATTTTCTTAATATGCTACTTGTTGTCTTTCATGAACACCTACTACCCAAAATTTGACTGATAACCTTCTTACACTTATAAAATTCTTCCTATTCAAGTTTCCCAAGACATATTTAAAGCCCAGTTCCTTCCTTTTCTCCAACTACTCTTAAATCTAGATGTAATGCAGATACTGGAAGTGAAACTCTATCATTTGACTATGTTCAGGCACAAAATAAAACAGCTGCCTATCTGAAGTGGCACTTCAAGGGAAAGAGGAAAGAAATTCTCTCCACCAGTTATTGTAGGTGAAACAAAAACTAACACCCCCTTGGCTGACAAAACACATTCCCCACAGAGCGATCCATCCACATCCTCTATAATTTCTTTTAAGGCTTTGTACTTTTGATGGCACTGAAAAGACTGAACACAAGGCAATGGCACAGCTGCCTGAAAGTAACAAAACAGTAAGTGTTTAGCTCTCTGTTGATTTATAGCTATATATGTTTTTCTTTCTTCCATTCCATCATTTCTTTCAGGTTTAGAACTTTCTCAGTGGAAACAACTGAAGTTTCAACTTTGACAAATGATGGATGCAAGATCATTTCCTTCCTGAATTTATACTTTAACATTTCTATATTTGCTTTATGTCATTGTATTTCTTAGAAGTCTTACACACTCAATAATTCAAAGTGATATGGTCAGCAATCTTCTTATTACTCAAACAAAATAAGTTATACTTTAAAATGCATCCCGCTGTTTTGTGTTCATGTTTTATTTAGTGCAGAGACAGATGCACTGAATGGCAATTTTTGATACATCTCTCATCAAATGGAAGAAACATTAAATACAGTGGCAGACTACATTCTGTGTTTCACTTAGATGATGATTACATATTACATAGCAGCTTATGGTCTATTTCAGTGATTACCTTCACCTGGATATTTCTTTGCTCGTTCCTCAAAGAACCATTCACCAGCCTTTACTTTAACATCTCTGAAAAACAATGAAAAGATATTTGAATCATCATGTTCCCAGGTGCCTTTCTTCAAATGTTTGGTAACTATTTAACAATACAAAAACCTTTTTCAATCCTACCATAAAACTAAGATTTCTTGACTGCTCAATCCATTGACCAGTTTTGTTGTGTGTCTGAAAAAAACAGAGGGGAGATATCCCTGGGAGGGAGTTGTTTTAGTTTTGAGGTTCTTCTGTTTGTTTTCCTTTCTGCTATGTAGGACTGCCCATGGAAAGTGATACATACTGCTCTAGGCATTGCTCTGAAGCCAGGAGTCTCAGCTCCATTCCAGTCTATACAATCAACTTGCAACACAGCCCAGGCACTTGTGCTGCCTGGCATCCTGACTGTTTACAGCTGCAGCCTACTCTGAGAAGCAGGGAACGTCAATGGTAGAGGACATGGTTCCAAGCAGAACTTGGGGCAGCTATCAGGGAGTGCTGAGCTGTCTTTTTATAAACTATAACTCTCTTCCAAACTGTAGAAAATTACTTCAAACCAGTACAAATTTGTTTAGTTTAAGACCAGTACCTTGCCTTATATTTCCCACTATTCTAATCTCATTTTTCCACCTTCAGAGAGAGTGAGGTGGTGGATTAATCTTGTGTTGGCATAAAGTAAATTTTCATCCAAATCCTCACCCTTTGTACAGGAATATATATCATCCAGCACAGCTTTTGACTAATTTCCAAAACTATCATTCTTTGCCTACATATTATTTTTCATCAAAAGTGGAAATATTCTAAAATATTTGGTTTAGAAAGATTCTAAGAGATAAAATGGACTATGAAGGAATATCTTGATATAAAAATTGTACCAATATAGTAAAAGAAAGATTGTTTTCTGTGTCCTGTAAAACAAAACTAAGATGATATAGTAACAGAAAATCCTAATAGTGGTTTTTTGCTTTTTAAATTTTTATAAAACATGACTACTTAGTATTTATCAATCCAGGTTCCTCACTCCTGTAGTAAAAGGCAGAAAATAATGATTAGGAAATTGTTGAGAAATTGGCTATACTACAAAGCACAGCACTTTCAGCAGCTTGTTAGGATGCACTGGTTCAATATTGAGTCAGGGGAAGGAGTTCTCTCTATGGTTTAGACTGTTGCTATGCTTTGCTGCTATCGTCTTTGCCCCACTACCTCTGGCTTACCTTGAAGATCCATTTTGCTAAACACAGGAAAGGAAATCCTGACTATGTGAAGTATAGCACAAAGTTCCCACCGATTTCATTGCTACCAGGACTCCAGCCAACATTTTCATTACGCCAGAGGTTTCGTTTCACTAATTGTTTAAGCAACAGATGCAAAAAACCAGTGGGCATCCATTGGATGACCAGTGTAAAACAGCACTTATCCAAACCAGTAAAGTTTCTTACCCATGAGCATAACAAATGGTGCATTTCCAAAGGCAGGGATTTAGGCAGACACGGCATTCAGAGCATACTCGATGACTGCAGCCATTGCATACTGCCCCTCTGTTCATCAACAACCCGAGAGGTTTCTGACAGCGAGCACAAGATCTCTCCTGATATTCATGGCTTACATTTTTTGCCCCTTTCCACCGAAGCTGCTGTAGATGCAGTTTCAGTTTCCTAACCCCCCAGGTAAAAAGAAAGAAAAAAGAAAAATTTTAAAAATTAAATAGACCAAAATCCTCATGAAAGTGAGCTAATACCCTGGTTGTGCAATACCATTACTAGTGGGAGATAGGCCCTCAAGTGTGACCTCAGTTAAGCACTGTCTGAAGGCATCCACACACAGCATTTTTGCAGTGTGACTGTATGTGACCAGAATTGTGCAACTAACAGAGAAATAATTTAGTATAAATGGGGTTCTGATCATGTTAGGTGTTCTCAAAGCAGGGTATTGAAATCGTGTATGCAGGTGATTACGCATTGATCTACAAAAACTGAGACTAAATGGTGCTCCCTTTCATTTCATTTTTTTTAATCATATTTATTCAAGAATCAGATCTTCTATCAAGTAAAAAAACTCATAACAAATGCATAATCTGAAAGCTAAATAAAAAACTACACTGGCCCAAAAGATCAAAACCTCTCCTTTTCATTAACTTTGCTTCCATTACATGTACGAATAATCAAGATCTATATTTTTATCTGTTACCAACACCATCAACAATCGAAAGGGATTTTCTGATCAGTTCAGATTTTCTATATAGCCCTTTACTTACTTTTCACTTAATTTTTTTCATCTAATATGCCCAGTAATACTTACATAACTGTTCGCTGTAAGCAAAGTTTAAGTTTCCACATTTAAGACACTAAAAATTTATATCTTATCCACACAAATACCTTGTTTACATGGGAATGCAACGTCACAAAGAAAGGTACAAGCTGCAAGGAAATCTTTGTCCTTGATATAAAGCAAAAAAAGTGCTGGAGAAATATCCTTTATTCTCTCCAACTGAGATACTTGCACAATGTAAAGTTATTTAATAAAATCCTTTTCCTAACAAATGGCACCTATTGACACTATTAACAACCTCTGAAACAGCATTGTGTGCTTGCCACCTGTTGTGTGTGAGAAGGGACAGTGATGGATTTAGCACAGTGAGCAGGTATCCAATGATTCTTAACTCCAGTATTGGCACAACTTAAGTTAAATAATCCAGCCAAAGATCTGAACGTGTTCTGTGTTACTAGGACTATATATGCATACATAGGAACATGACAAGAATGCCATAAGGCCTTCATAGAAAAAGTACAGGCAGCAACTGAACTTTCTATGAAGGCTGAAAGTAAAATTAATCCAGTATGTTATTCACAGAACAGTATTTGCTCATCTTTAATGTAGAGTCAATGGAATGGTAAATTCAAGAGGGTCTGGATAATCCTTGGTTTTCCCAAAGAATAAAAAAGCATTAGGTAACAAGAAGTTATAAAAAGGAGTACATTTGGAAGGACTAAGTAGAATAATAGTACTTCAGGAAAAAAAAGGAACAGAATACAGGAATAGGGGAGGAGCACATACCTTATTCTTTCCTCTTCTGTTTTTCTCACCATCTCATCACGGTACAAGACTTCCAAAACAGCCTCTCGTTCCAATTCCTTAAGGAAGTTCAAATTAAATTCACAGGCCATTTTCTCCAAATTTCACTTGTTCTGTAGACTCCTATCCTATGGGTTCTAGTATATCCAGAACAATGTTCTGGGTGTTAACTAAGTGCCTGTGTTCTTACTCAATTGGTGATGTGTTTCACTGTGTCATGCCCTTGAAGAGAAAAATGACTGTGTCTGTCTTCACACAAACAATCACTTAGGTGTCTCTGCAAACCAGGGAATATGAACAGTTATCAAGATCACAGCAATCTTGACTTTTTCATGTCCTTAAACTTCCTGTTCTTTTCTTATTTTGTTTTTTTTTTCACTGAAAGTAGTTCCAAAAGAGATGAGAGCTTGCAGCAATGTCCCAGACAGGGCTTTAACTGCCTCCAGATGGAGGGACAATAGTGTAAAAGAGTGAGGGGACTCGTTTGAAGTTTTTTATTTGTTTTTGTAGATATGGGATTTCTGGACCTAGGAAAAAAATGAAGAATACGTGTTATTATCTCTTCTTTCCAAGACATTTAAAATAGTATGTGAAGAACACATTCTGCTACACTCAAACCTTTCATACACTAATTCAGGTACAGGAGAGGTTTTAAGACAGTCCTGTTCTTCAAAGAGTCTCACCATAATGCCCATTAACAGTCAGGTACATATCTTTGCATTTTTCATACAGTTAAAATAAAATAACCAATAAAAAAGTTTAAGTTAGTTCTGACCACAGGCCTGCAGGTCCCATGACTGGAAAAGTCATAGTCCTTGTGACAAAATTTTTGATGAAAAAAATGCCCCTTTCTAATCTCATTTTATTGAAAAGACAAAACATCACAAAACTAAGAGGAAAGACATCTCTAACAGTCATTTTTATCAATTACCTATGTCTTTTAAGTCTAGATAAACAGTTTAATAACAAATAATGCTATTCTCTTTGTTAATACACCAAAACAGTAAAAAGTTATTATTTTCATCTCAGTGCACTAACAATTTTGGCCCCAAACCGAAGAAGTTCAAGTACAAGCATATGAGAAGTGTAAAATTAAAACAGAATCCCAACTGTAGTTTGAATGTATTCTGTGATCTTCATTTTTGCAGAACCTCCACCAAAATATAAAACAGTTTTAATATACTTCACAGCAAAGCCAAGAGAGAGAATGGTTATTCAATCCAAACCAGCTTGCACACCACATTCATTTTCAGTACTACTGTCTGGCATCTAGTGCCTATTACAAGAAATGTAAGATAATTCTACTTACGGTACACAAAATGTTAAAGATGTGTACATGAAAGCTGGTTAAGCATTTCAAACTTAATCTGGAGTAAATACACAGAGTCAGGCTCTAGGAAAAGGGTCTAGATGCTAGGTCAGAAGAGTAAAGCTTTCCCAAGGCAGTTACTAATGTTTCACTGATGGACCTCAGCTGAGAATCTGAACAACCATCTGTACTGCTGACACAATGTTGATTGCGTTATTTTAAAATGCAATACTGAGTTTAATTTAAAAAAAGAAACAACTGAAAACCTAAACAAACAAACCCTCACCCACTAAAACTTCATATATATATATATATAGTGACAATGTATTTTTGTCAGTGCAGGTAATTACTTCACATGCAGCTTGCTCCAAATACTTAATTTATAGTTACCTAATTTCCCACCAAAAAAAGCAGAAGGTGATAACATGTATTTATAAACAGCAAGCATTCCATTCCTGTATGTTGTGTTCTTTTTTTTTTGTAAAACCCTTCAGACACCAAAAGTTGAAAGCATTTCACAGAAGCAGTGTTAAAAGGGAAAAAAAAAAAAAAAAGAGATTGGTTTCCTGTGCAAACAAAAGAGACAGAGATAGGCATAATCATATTTTATTTCCTTACCAACTGCAATTTCACAGGAAATTACTCATTTGAAACATAGAAAGCTTGAACAATTTTTTAACACAATATACGTCACTTTCAAAGCCCCTACATCCTTCAACTGCTTTCAGGGCACAAAGTTTTCCATATATCAAGACCGTTTTGAGAAATGAGTTTCAGAGGACACACAGAATTTTACTTAGAGATGCACAAAACAAACAAACAAACCATTAGTTTCAGCTATTCAAACTTGCACAGATTTTAACACTGTGATGGAAGGATGAGTTTAGACCCTCCCCTTATTTCTAATTTGTCTTGCTCAAAGTTATTCCCCCTGGGAGACACAGTTTCTGCCTAAGCCAGGGCAGGATTTTCCAGAAGTGCAGTCAATCTCAGCCTCTTGTTGATTCTGCAAACATCAAAACCAGCTGATTTAATATGTTACACTCCATACCCTATTCATAGTGATCAGTCACAAGCACTCAATCTAATGCCAACAGGGAGCAGGATGGAAAGACTAGAATCATCTTCTGGTACTAAACAATGGAACAAATTTACTGCAGAGTAAAGTGCCAGGGCCCTCCATCCTGCAGCATTTGCCCTGTGCAGAGAAGGAAAAAGCCACTATGGCTCTCTCACCGCTGGGCAAGGTCAGCACACACTGCAGACAAAGCTTAAAATTCATCATGCAGCCAGCAGCTCTAGCAATATTGCACCTGCACACTTCTACAGTTGTTGGTTTTTTAATCTTCATGAAGATTTCAACTCTGGCAATCATTGCGTTCTGACAATTTTTCTTGCACATCCAAAGGTAACTTAAAATCTGACTTTATGATGAGGTAGCTCTCAGAATAAACAAAGTATTATAAAAGCATTATAACCTCTGAAATGGGAGATAATTCTTGGCCCCACAACAGACTTGAACTTGTAATCATTCCACAGAAGTGTTCAAATTGGACTGTAAAGCTCTCTACCACTACAAAAGAAGAGCTTTTCTCTTACACCAAAGCTGTCTGCATTAGATTAGGTTTTTGGCAGTAATAAAGAAGTGTCTTCAGTAATGGCCCTCTTTGACAGGAAGAAACAACATTATAAACCTTCGCAGATGCCCTCCTTTCTTGTTGACTCATTGAATCCAGTTAGCTAGTTGTTTTACATGGTCAGTTAACCTCAAAGCTGAGCATCTTCTACATAAAACCAAAAATAGCAGCAACCTCTTTAGTAAATACCATGACAATTCTTCCTTTTCAGCACAAAGTTCACATTAAAATAATACTTGAAGGGAATATGTTAATTACGTGTTTATTATTATTACATTTTATTTTAAATTATAGATGGATCAGTAGCTTTTTGAAAATATCATATGAAATCTCAAAGCCAATATAAGGGAGAAGGAATAACCAACATGGCTATACCTTAGGAGAAGAAGACATGAATGCACTGAGTGCAATCTCAAAAAAATATACTTTTTTCTTTTATATCAGCCTAAAATAGTATATAGTTATGTAACTGAAGATAAACCAAGAGGTCTATCTAACACAAGATTAAGTTTGCAAAAGGTAACTTATTAAGTTTTTAAACTTAGAAACGCCTGACTTAGCAAGCCTTTCCTCAAAGCAATTTTACATGTAATGTATTATTGATTTCCTTTCAGATCCTTAAGCATTAGCAAAATAATGACAATTAAATAAGTATAAATAAACTAATCTTCTAAAGTGACAGTCTTCATTGACTTGAGATAATTGGATTACTTCATCCATTAACCCAGAAAATAGATGTAATACATCAGTAGCTAGGACACAGGTTAAGAAGGTTCAGGGTAACAATGATCACAAAAGCCACTGCAATTTTTGGCTATTTTCTATTCATCTGAGGCCAAACTCATAAATTTATTCTTAGTTAAGAAAATTGCACGTTATTCTGTACTACCTGGCTGCAACAGTTTAATTTTCACCTCCCTGCATGTGCACATGCAAATTACTTATAAGTCCTTTGATAATGCCTTACCAAAATTATATCCGTGATAACGCCCAGCCCCAGAACTTAAAAGCGAAAATAAAAACAAACAACAAAACCCAACACAAACAATTAAGTTCCAATTGTGGCTTTTCCGTTATACCTTTGCAGTTTGAAAAACATCATGCAAGTAGGTAAAAATGCATCCCTCTGTGCAATATCATATAGAATGGATTAAAACGATGTGCTTACCTCTTCAGCACCCCCCAAAGAAAGACACACGGAAGTAAACTGCTTTTAAAAGATGAGTAGCACTCTTATTGTTTAATTATCTTTTCTTAAAGAAAACTGGTGGCTGTTCTCCACTCCCTTTCCTTCCTTTGGGCACTGATATTACTGATGTATGTTCAGAGAAGCATCTCCAAAACAGCTAAAAGGAAATGCACTCAATAAAGAGCTCTAATGTTACAAAAGCTTTTGTCAAGTCTCTGGTTTTGTTACCAGCATCAAGCAAGGAGAAGATATTAATTTTTCTAACATTAAAAACAAACCCAGCACACGAGACTATAAAAGCTGACTGATAAAATGTGCTCAGTCTTCAAGCCATACACAGGAAGAGAAGTGGCTTTGAGTTCTACATAGTTTCTTTTTCTGATACTATAGATGTGAAAATGCTTCTAACCACAATGGCTCTAGGACTTGCACAGAAAACTTGTAACTTTGTATCATAAGCAGTTCTTTCCTGGAAACAAAAGTAGTTTTCCATTTAGGTCTCTATAAAAAAGCAATTAGAATAGATAAAAGTTCAAAACAATTCATTTTTATGCACCTGCAAAAAGAAGAAGGTTATTTTACCTCACAGCTGGAAATCTGATCTCAGGTAACAATTGAAAGTTAAAATATTATTTGGATTGGATATCCCAATTCAGTGTATTACAGAACTAAGTGTGGGTAATGAAGTTCAAAATTATATCCCAATTATTTCCAAGTCTGGCAAATAAAAGAGGCTATTCTTACAGGACAATCTCCTTTCTTGTTCTTGGCTCTAACAAACTGTATGTACAACACAGAAGCACTCTTAGTGTTTCAAGTATTTTAAGATTCCTTATTTCTCGTTAAAATTAAACAAAGCACAGCAATTCTACTCATATGGCAAAGTTTAAGAGCCTGCATTTTTATAGTCTCATGAAGTTAAATAGGTTCAAACATTCCCACCTGTGTTTGTCAAGTTTAATCACCTTCTTCAGCTGTATCACAGAAGGAAAGCAACCGTTAGTGGGGCACAGAACTATGC